TCTCACAACTTTTGGAGCTCACCTGATGGACATAATTCTAGAATTTTCATTTTTATTTTAAACTTGAACACAATTTTGATTTCTATCCAGATGAGCACTCAGTTAAAAACTGTCATCAGGCACATTCCGTTGAAGATGACTTTAAAGGAAACAAAGTGACTTAGGGGAGCCTAATGCCAACAACACCGCAGTTTGCGCAACCAAATCACCATCACGAATGCCCTGACAGGGTAGGCTGGTGACGGTCCCGTAGCTTATAAAAAGCCACTTACGAAGGCATCCAGACAAGAAGACTGTGAAACTGTGACTAAGTTATGGTTTATTGGATCGTAGAAATGGTTTTTCAACAGGTCGAATATCTTATGCAGAACCTTCATTTATCTGAAATTTTCCAAAACGTTTCGTTACAGAATAATCTAGCTTTCCATCACTTCTAACGGTACACGCAGAACTGACGTAATGATGGATCGATCGGTCGCCGGAATGATCGACCGAAAAAGCAGTTCTGTGACATGAATGATCCTCAGTCAAATTGGATTTCTTTTCAACTGCGTGTCACTCACACGGTTGATCCAGAATTAACGTGAGATGCATTCGTGCACATTTCGCCTCGAGTCAATTCGGACAGTCTTCGATTCTAAATCCGATTAGTTTTCCTGTCGACGAAATCTAACATATGACGTTGTGAATTAACCACAATTCGTATTGAGGATGTAAAAAAGCACTTCTTTCGAGCAAACGAATCAAGTTTATGGTCTACTCAGATTTCGATGAACAACGAAATCGTATACTAAGCTTCTCTAGAAGTTGGGTGAGAAGTCTATCAGCCAGTTGACTAAAAACTGATCAGTTATCGACAACTAACTAATTCGGATAATTCTGGCCAATTAGGCATGGAATTACTCACGTGACTTGTGAACAAGTTGGTACACGCTGTACGAAATTTTGTGGATTGGCACGGAAAGTTGGAATGTTAGGAGAAAGCTGTGGAGAGAACACGGATTGGTGAGTTTGAAAAGAAAATCGCGGAAAGTATCACGAATGTACCATGTTGTGTATGCCGTTGTCGGCTGCCTTACTTTTCGCCCCCCAAGAAACACAAAGCAAGTCTAATGTTGCATCCGTCCGAAGTAGACGAAACCAATCGTATCGGTGGTTAGTAATCGCCCTCCACCACTGGTACCGTTGGTAACTGATGAAGTAGCGCTCATTTGAAAAGCAGGATTGATGGGGGCGGGGAGACCTCGTCAATCGGATGAGCCTTTAGAAAGGCGAAACGAGTAGTGTTCCATCAACCTCACCAGTTCTGTTATTTCTGATTTTCTGCTGCGTGACACGAGACCTCGCATCTTGAAGGGATCGTGGGACACTATAGACAGAAAACCGATTCCCATCTTCGCATGTGATTCAAAAGAGGTCCAAAATGGGAATGAAAAAAATACACGCAACATGCTGGATTTTACATCGGGCAAATGTCAGGACTGTGCAACAATTACAGTGGGAGGGGACTCACGAGGAGACTGAAAATCGATTTGTCCGAAAGCCAGCACTGAGGTCCGTTTTTGTCTGGAGATGATCTATATAGCTAGGCGAGTGGGCATTACAACAAATCTATGCAATAGCACCATGCGGAGAGGACAACCGAGTGACATGAATAACACCATTTGACTTCGTTCTCGTACTCATAATTAAGCATCCCAACTGATGTCTTCCTGCCCCCAGTCTGTCGGAGCTAACGGAAGCTTCACGTACGTTTTGAACTTGTTAGCTATATTCATCGAGTAATATTGGGAACTCAGGGGCATTTGGTGTTAGGGGGAATTCCACACGGATCCCTCTTTACCGCTACGGCCGGCCGACCCATCCCACGCAAGATTGGCCGAGAATTCGGGACGCTTGCCGGTCCGGCATCAACTCGAGATCTGATTGGTCGAAAGTCTGGGCCCAACAGCCAATAATGACCCAGTATTGCCGAATGCCAGTTTCCAATGCCGCATCCAGAACGTATCAGAATTTCCAGAAAGTTATTACCGGCTACGCTATATATATGGAGGGTTGTGCAAGTGCTCCTGACTTCGCTTCGGGCGTTAATATACCTTTGCACCCGTGGTGGTTGTTTCTGAAGTGAACACTAGCTTGGGAGGCTCAGACCAAGAATTGAGCTGAGAAAGATACCGTTACTACATTTAGAAAATAACTTATACTGAACAGTACTTGTCTAAGAGGGGACTTTGAACGACTCCCCTGTCTACAGTGCACACCCACTCAGTTTTAGTGCCGTACGTTAGGTCAGTGATGATGACATCAAACAAAATCTCTCTTCCAGAATGATAATGCAAGAAGTTGTAAGTGTGGGGAAGTCGAAGAATAGTCGTGGACAATGTCAGAATGATTCAAGGAAGAAAAGGAGTTTCCAGTCAGGAGTTGGACGATGTTGTTATGTTGCGGGACTGTCAACGTCATTCACCGGGTGTGTATGCTCCCGTGCCGTTCCTTTCCACAAGTCGCGCCAGACATTCAGAGAAGTGTAATAGAGATGAGAGGTGATGACAGAGGCATAAGTTACCCCTGCATCACTGGACGCATTAACACGAAGGGAGCTGAGTAGTCTCGGGGAGAATCGTCAGACGACAGAACGAAAGCGGTCAGACTTATCATCTTTATCGCCGAACTTTTCTATTTTGACGTTTTCTTGACTCATGACTCCAGACCCCTTTGATATGATTACATAACAGATGTAATTTGCTCTGCTGTCCAAGTATGAACGCCTCCCATGCAAACTAGATTTCCCTGAATGCGATATTACTCATCAATTGCATCAAGGTTGAGTTATGTGAAGAGGGACCCTATGGTGGACTGGTATCCATTTTTGGATTGGCCAACCGCATCGAAAGAGCTTAGTGGACGCAGTAGAGAATGCCACAAAGAGTATTCGTCAGTCTGAAAACTCACCCAAGGGAATATGAAAGGGGAGTGATAAAGAGAGGATAGCTCTTAGGCCATCAGCATGTCTAACCGGCGACCTAAATTGTCAACTGAAGTAGAACATACCTTAACCTTTGACCTTTACAGTGCATGCAGAGAGTTAGGGGACACATTTTAGGCACACATGAATGAATGAGGGCATTCAGCTATTCCTGTAAACACAAGTAGAATACGTTTGGATCGAAAAAATGCGGTTCACTATGCTATGGCACTTAAGAACAGATTGGAGACAGCAGTAGAGACATTCAGTCTAACAAACAAGCTAAAGCCTTGCCCTGGTGATCACAGCATGGCATATTGGGATCTGCACTTCATATGAGATACACCCCACATGTGACCAGCCTAGCAGTGGAACTGAACGATGTCAATTGCGTATAGACTGAGGATTGAATTGCTAATAAGCCAAGTCCACAAAATATCCCTGTGGCGGTCTGTAGTTAGGCATGATTTGACTTGATTCCATACACAAGATGTGTTCATTCATGGCCACTTCTAGCACCATGGCGAGCTCAGCACACTCAGTGCGCTAAGACATTTTTGTAGTCTATGGTGATGGCCACATAAAGTCGGATCTGGCAGTGCCACAGGCTCAACTCTCTGGTAACCTCAGAAACCTAAGACGGATCTGGTAAACTTACTACATCCACTGACGTTTCGTCGACGGATCACTGTATGTCCACTGGTGACCAGCTAGTCCAATGCGATCGGCGCAAACAGAATCAAGACCGCTGTAGGTCCGACAGCTCCGACGATACTCTTACTCACTGCACGTTTCAAACCACTGGCTTGAAATTAGCAACTGATGAACTGATGAACTCCAGTTCTTAACATGTCCCAACATGCTGTCCTGTTTTATACTTTCGCTTCCCAGTTCACCAGATCCACCTCAGCAGCTTTTAGACTTTTATTCAAAGTATCCAATTATCGGTGCTTTTGTCGGCAAGTTTCTATTTTCTCACATTCGACTGACCTTAAAGAAGCTGCTCCCGTCCCTTGAGGAAACATATCCCAGCAAACTCAATTGGATGAATACAACGGTGACCTCCATTTCGTTCGAATCCATGGGCTAATCCTCATGTTCTGCACTCGTTCGGCTCAGTAAACATCTGATGTCCGCCCAAAGCAAATCACGCGAATTCCGCTCAACTATCGAAGATTGCACTGACAGATACTCAGTGTTCTGGTGCTGAACAAGAGGAGGAATGTAGCTGTTCATGGGCTCCGGTTGTTCAACATCATTTCCCAAGTGTACCAAGAGCCACGTGACCTTGGCAAGGGGAAATCTCAGCTGACGGCCCACGGTTTATTCATCAAAACCTCACACAATGATCCATTATCTTCGTTGCAGTCGAGGTGCACGGCGAACTAATCGAGATTCCATCCAGCGCATTTTAGTTGACGATCAGACTAAAGTGCTCGATAGCAGCCCCTTATGTTCGGAAAACACATAAGCGTCCATAAGCAGGAGAATGTGAGCAGTGGTCTAGTGAACCAGACTCGACAATGATATTTAACACCCATTCATCAGGCCGATACTCGAGCTGTACGCTTGAATCGTTTTACGGAAGCCGCATCGTTCATTAGATAAAGATTGAAGAACACAGGTGCAAGGACGCACCCTTGTTTTACTCTTGAATCCCTTAAAGTCAACCCCTTCGTTTGCCTCTTCGTTCCCATTCCGTCATGCAGGCTTCTGGAAAGTTTAACGCATTTAAGAGGACTACCGTATTTAGAATGAATAGCCTGAATTACTTCTTCATTGACGGAGTCGAAGGGCTTGGTGAAGTCTGTGAAAAAAAACATGGTGCGGCCGATATTCGCGAGGTTGTTGTGCAACAGCTATCAAGTCCATTGTGCTACGGGATCCACAGTGTTCCTCGGAGATGTGTGCGTCGATCACTGTCAGCTGTCAGGTGCTTAGGTAGCACTCGTGCCAGAAGCCTATTAGTACAGTTCAAAAAAGAGTGTCGCCTCCAATCGTCGGGTACAGTCTTGTTTTTTCTTTTCTTCATAAGACGGAGAAGATGCTCAAATTCTGCGAAAACTTGGTCTTCCGGCTAGACAATGAAAGTCATTCGAAGTGAGTTCTGTAGAGTTGGACCAACGCAGTTGAACAGTTCTCTTACGAGCCCTTGAGCTGTCTTGTCATTCCTCGGTTGCATTTTTCTCTGCCCTAAGTATTCGACAGTCGAAGAAAGGTCCAGAGTCCCTCGCTGGGACAGTCAGTTCACTGTAATCCACTTGATGCTTGAGGAGTTTGCTGAAAGGCTTGCGTCATACATCCAATATTTCTGCAGGTTACGTCTGTCGTAATGGAAGTTGCTGAAAGCAAAAAAAACTTGTGTTCTTTAGTTTGACGTTAACTCTAAGTTGTGGATTTTTCCACTCCACGTCACTCACGGTTTGCCCCACCAAGTTAAATCGTTGACTAGAGACGACTGTCAGCTGTGTTCGCGAGCTAATGGACCAGACCAGAAAAGGACAATAAATTACATAGACTTAATACACTACTTAAGGCCATTCGGAATTCTTCGACAGCCCACGACCGGCATTGCCTTTCTTGGGGCCCATCAGGTAGGCCACTTCCCTGAGTTTCCGTCAACCTCATGCTCTACTTGAAACCGAATTGCACGAAATTAGCGAATAGCGAAGTTCACTCATTAGCAAACAAATTTGGTTTCGTTGGTGATTCAACTAGAACACAGCTAAATCTCTCGTTTGTGATGTTTTCAAGCAACTGAATGTGCTACACCAGGCCGCCTCACGTTTCAGTTGGTATGATATTCAACACATCACGATACGTGTATAGACGTCATACACTACTCATAAACGAGAGATTTAACTGGCTTCCAGCTGAGTTTCTCGCAAGACCAAATTTGTTTGCAAATGAGTGCGTATCGCTAAGATAAAGTACAGTTGTCTTACTCTGCTCAAACTTCTTTTAGAGACATCGCTCCAAGAAAGTGACAAATTTTTGCTAGCCTCTGAGGATTCCACTCATTTTATGACCCCGAAGAGGCCAACCAAACTAAATTTACAGGGCAGTTTAGGTCGACAGGTCAAAAAACAGGAACTTATCGGCCAACTTGTCTGAGCAAAGAAGAATAACATGAGTACTGGTAAATTTTCATGATTCTTCTACCTAATTAGCCATGGACGTCTACGGTATATATGGTAAACAGTGGCTGTGAATGTACACAATTTTAGATGACCGGACAAGGAATGTTTGGCTGGTCACTATCACATCGAACATAATTAACCAACTGTCATTCCAAACTGCTTATACCAGTTGGACAAAATTCCACCCCGCTAAAGTCTTTGGGCGTCACCCAACTTCAAGTTCTGTGCTAGTAGAATAGTTCACAACTTCTCAACACACTGGAATCGGCTCCTGTTCTCGATTAATCGGCCAAGCACAGCATATGAGTGGATAGTACACGAGTGCAAACCATATGGAGTAGCTTCCATACCATGCAGGTTATATGAGATGTCGCTTGTATGCACGAATATTCATTCTTCAAACTCGACACCTTCATCAGGTAAGAATCATCCCATACTTCAAAAAAAACATTTTCTTAGTGTTTTCTTAAAAACTATACTGATTCGAAACACCCAGACCGTACTGCTTTGACTCTCCTCACGGTATTTAGTCAATTACGACTCGGTATGACTGTCACTCGGGGGCGAGATGGCCCAAGTGGTTAGAGCGCAAATTTACTGACCGCCAGGGTCCGTGTTCGAACCTGACCTCTGTCTCTCGACTACCCCTGTCTAGGCTTGGGCAACCTGGCAGTATCCCAGCCCTCGTGCAACCTTCAGGTGGCACGGTAGTTAGGCGCCGAAAGGGTGCAACAGCTGAACGATGGCCGTCACTCATTCAATTCTCCTTGAGTCTGCGTTATTCTTCCTGACTTCTCGTTACATATGTCCTCCGAACGTCCAAACTTTTTCTATACCGTTTGCTACGTCCTCACCGGGGTCTTCAAATATATATATATATATATATATATATATATATTCCCCTTTCCTGTAATCCACTATGTCATTACTGAAACAATTCTCTCCCACGTTGGCGAATTAGAGCAGCTGTGTCTACTCAGGCCTACCTTTTTCGGAAATAGGAGGGAAAACTCAGCGCGACCACGCTCCTACCAACAATTTCATGGGCATGAACTCCACAGTGGGCTACCAAGCCAGCTTTCGATTTGCAGCACTTATCACAGTCCTCGCACATGAGCCAAACGAGTTTATCCTGTGTACTGGTTGGAAACGGTGCAAAGGCGTGTGCTGGATAGTGCTTTTCATTTTAGAAAGTAACCAGTAGGATGAAACCAAACAAGATGATTGGCCCTGCGTAGAGTTGCAGAAATTCTAGCTTACCCTAACTGGTGTCTGAGCTACCCAGTCGGCACCACGAGGAGGGCTTCAGCCTGCCAACTACTTACTTACTTACTTACTTACTTACTCTTACTTACTTACTACTTACTTACTTACTTACTTACTTACTTACTTACTTACTTACTTACTTACTTACTTACTTACTTACTTACTTACTTACTTTACTTATTACTTACTTACTTACTTACTTACTTACTTACTTACTTACTTACTTACTTACTTACTTACTTACTTACTTACTTACTTACTTACTTACTTACTTACTTACTTACTTACTTACTTACTTACTTACTTACTTACTTACTTACTTACTTACTTACTTACTTACTTACTTACTTACTTACTTACTTACTTACTTACTTACTTACTTACTTACTTACTTACTTACTTACTTACTTACTTACTTACTTACTTACTTACTTACTTACTTACTTACTTACTTACTTACTTACTTACTTACTTACTTACTTACTTACTTACTTACTTACTTACTTACTTACTTACTTACTTACTTACTTACTTACTTACTTACTTACTTACTTACTTACTTACTTACTTACTTACTTACTTACTTACTTACTTACTTACTTACTTACTTACTTACTTACTTACTTACTTACTTACTTACTTACTTACTTACTTACTTACTTACTTACTTACTTACTTACTTACTTACTTACTTACTTACTTACTTACTTACTTACTTACTTACTTACTTACTTACTTACTTACTTACTTACTTACTTACTTACTTACTTACTTACTTACTTACTTACTTACTTACTTACTTACTTACTTACTTACTTACTTACTTACTTACTTACTTACTTACTTACTTACTTACTTACTTACTTACTTACTTACTTACTTACTTACTTACTTACTTACTTACTTACTTACTTACTTACTTACTTACTTACTTACTTACTTACTTACTTACTTACTTACTTACTTACTTACTTACTTACTTACTTACTTACTTACTTACTTACTTACTTACTTACTTACTTACTTACTTACTTACTTACTTACTTACTTACTTACTTACTTACTTACTTACTTACTTACTTACTTACTTACTTACTTACTTACTTACTTACTTACTTACTTACTTACTTACTTACTTACTTACTTACTTACTTACTTACTTACTTACTTACTTACTTACTTACTTACTTACTTACTTACTTACTTACTTACTTACTTACTTACTTACTTACTTACTTACTTACTTACTTACTTACTTACTTACTTACTTACTTACTTACTTACTTACTTACTTACTTACTTACTTACTTACTTACTTACTTACTTACTTACTTACTTACTTACTTACTTACTTACTTACTTACTTACTTACTTACTTACTTACTTACTTACTTACTTACTTACTTACTTACTTACTTACTTACTTACTTACTTACTTACTTACTTACTTACTTACTTACTTACTTACTTACTTACTTACTTACTTACTTACTTACTTACTTACTTACTTACTTACTTACTTACTTACTTACTTACTTACTTACTTACTTACTTACTTACTTACTTACTTACTTACTTACTTACTTACTTACTTACTTACTTACTTACTTACTTACTTACTTACTTACTTACTTACTTACTTACTTACTTACTTACTTACTTACTTACTTACTTACTTACTTACTTACTTACTTACTTACTTACTTACTTACTTACTTACTTACTTACTTACTTACTTACTTACTTACTTACTTACTTACTTACTTACTTACTTACTTACTTACTTACTTACTTACTTACTTACTTACTTACTTACTTACTTACTTACTTACTTACTTACTTACTTACTTACTTACTTACTTACTTACTTACTTACTTACTTACTTACTTACTTACTTACTTACTTACTTACTTACTTACTTACTTACTTACTTACTTACTTACTTACTTACTTACTTACTTACTTACTTACTTACTTACTTACTTACTTACTTACTTACTTACTTACTTACTTACTTACTTACTTACTTACTTACTTACTTACTTACTTACTTACTTACTTACTTACTTACTTACTTACTTACTTACTTACTTACTTACTTACTTACTTACTTACTTACTTACTTACTTACTTACTTACTTACTTACTTACTTACTTACTTACTTACTTACTTACTTACTTACTTACTTACTTACTTACTTACTTACTTACTTACTTACTTACTTACTTACTTACTTACTTACTTACTTACTTACTTACTTACTTACTTACTTACTTACTTACTTACTTACTTACTTACTTACTTACTTACTTACTTACTTACTTACTTACTTACTTACTTACTTACTTACTTACTTACTTACTTACTTACTTACTTACTTACTTACTTACTTACTTACTTACTTACTTACTTACTTACTTACTTACTTACTTACTTACTTACTTACTTACTTACTTACTTACTTACTTACTTACTTACTTACTTACTTACTTACTTACTTACTTACTTACTTACTTACTTACTTACTTACTTACTTACTTACTTACTTACTTACTTACTTACTTACTTACTTACTTACTTACTTACTTACTTACTTACTTACTTACTTACTTACTTACTTACTTACTTACTTACTTACTTACTTACTTACTTACTTACTTACTTACTTACTTACTTACTTACTTACTTACTTACTTACTTACTTACTTACTTACTTACTTACTTACTTACTTACTTACTTACTTACTTACTTACTTACTTACTTACTTACTTACTTACTTACTTACTTACTTACTTACTTACTTACTTACTTACTTACTTACTTACTTACTTACTTACTTACTTACTTACTTACTTACTTACTTACTTACTTACTTACTTACTTACTTACTTACTTACTTACTTACTTACTTACTTACTTACTTACTTACTTACTTACTTACTTACTTACTTACTTACTTACTTACTTACTTACTTACTTACTTACTTACTTACTTACTTACTTACTTACTTACTTACTTACTTACTTACTTACTTACTTACTTACTTACTTACTTACTTACTTACTTACTTACTTACTTACTTACTTACTTACTTACTTACTTACTTACTTACTTACTTACTTACTTACTTACTTACTTACTTACTTACTTACTTACTTACTTACTTACTTACTTACTTACTTACTTACTTACTTACTTACTTACTTACTTACTTACTTACTTACTTACTTACTTACTTACTTACTTACTTACTTACTTACTTACTTACTTACTTACTTACTTACTTACTTACTTACTTACTTACTTACTTACTTACTTACTTACTTACTTACTTACTTACTTACTTACTTACTTACTTACTTACTTACTTACTTACTTACTTACTTACTTACTTACTTACTTACTTACTTACTTACTTACTTACTTACTTACTTACTTACTTACTTACTTACTTACTTACTTACTTACTTACTTACTTACTTACTTACTTACTTACTTACTTACTTACTTACTTACTTACTTACTTACTTACTTACTTACTTACTTACTTACTTACTTACTTACTTACTTACTTACTTACTTACTTACTTACTTACTTACTTACTTACTTACTTACTTACTTACTTACTTACTTACTTACTTACTTACTTACTTACTTACTTACTTACTTACTTACTTACTTACTTACTTACTTACTTACTTACTTACTTACTTACTTACTTACTTACTTACTTACTTACTTACTTACTTACTTACTTACTTACTTACTTACTTACTTACTTACTTACTTACTTACTTACTTTACCTAACTACCTACTTACTTACTTACCTACGTACCTACATACATGAATACATACATCAGTACATCGACCAAGTGTTCATTTTACATGTGTACGTGTTTATCGCATCCAACGCGTTCGACTCCCTCCCTAATCTCTATTATCGCCCCTTACTTCTAGCCTATACGCTGTCGGAAGTCACGAAACCCACAAGTTAAAAACGTTGAATCAGGTGAAACTTTGGTTTTCACTTAACAGAGGACCATTCAGCAGCCAGGCGCACACGAAAACAGAATATGTCCAGCGACAGGAAGCTCTCCCAAGACTCTGAAGTTATGGGCATTCCTTTGGCAGCGGAAATCACTGCAAAATACTGCAAAAGGTCCATGTACGCATGTCTGGTGGTTACATTTATCATGATTTGTTTCTGTTTACAAACTCCGAATGATGTTTTCCTCAAACGGTTTGACGGGAATCTCGCTGCAGATCAGAAGACTATGTCACATGGAGAAATACCGTCTGGAAAGTATTTTTAGCTAATTGTCTGTCTGACGAGTTAGCACCGTTAAGTACGTCGGAAAAAGGTAATTTTTCAAATTTCCGCCAAAGCTTTTCGTGATAGTGAACTTGGAGCTCAGCGCTCATCCACACACACACACACACACACTGCATTGGCCGTCACCTAGCGAGGGTCGCTCACATGGGACAAAGGTAATTTATTCATTGTATGGACGTAATATTCTACCCATAAGTTTACTGAAAACTCTTCGACAATAATCTTAGTAATAGTGTATTACGTCTGTACAATGTACTTCGATATCTCGAATGTGGTATGAACTGAAACATGAGGCGGCCCGGTGCGGCACATTCAACTGAGAAGAACATTCTAAAAGAGCGATTCAGCTGAGTTCCAGACGGGTCTCTTGTCAGAACCTACTGGATACACGCATGATACACCACAAGGCTTTTGACGGCTGACAGGTTGTAGGCTTTTACCTCTGGCTGACCAGAAACCAATGATAAGGACGCATCAGTCGCTTTTACGGCCGCATCCATTTAAATCCAGAATTACAAAGCACAACCAGGTAAACAGCCCGCATAATTTACGTGAGATATGGGTATTGGTTAACGTGATAAACAGACAGTACCACGCCTCACGAAGCGGGAAGAACCGCACGCGATTAAAAGACACTTCTATTTTGGAAAGTGATTAGACCAAATTCGCATACTTGTGACGTCGTTAAACCTTGCTTGTGCGAAAGGAGATGAGAGGTCATTAATCGTGCTACCGTCGTCTATTTGATGCTCCTGGTGTAAAAATAAAAAATGCACTGGTGCGCTGTTACCTCCGTAGCGTATAGTGACATTTGTTCATTTCTAATCTACCTTCACCTATTTCCGTCACAGCCAACAAACGGCCCCGATCAATCGCTATTCTCTTTCTTGAGGTCTACAATATTTTGTCCCAGCCCCTGAGTGCAATGACACTTCTAAAGAAGTCCTGTTGTATGTCAAGTAATGAACAGACAACCAGATTTTTTTGATAAATGCCCTCATTTGCACAGGAATTCGTTTTTTATACAACTGAATCTCTCTAATGTACTACTCATAAGGTTGCTGAAAATCCGTCGACAGCAACCTTATGAGTAGTACATTACAAACATACATGTATCGTGATACCTCGGATATCGTAGCGACTGAAACATGAGGCCGCCTGGTGCAGCACATTCAGTTGCCTGAAAACATCATAAACGAGAGATTCAGCTGGGTTCAAGGTGAGTCTCTCGAAAAAAACAAATTAGTCCGCAAATGAGTGTGTATTAGCTGAATCTCTCGTTTATAATAATCCGCCTCGAAACGTTTGTAACGACCTTGTGATTAGGGTGTTACGTTTCAATAACTGCATGCTTTTTTTAGTTCCACACAATAAACTCTGATAGAGAAAGGCAATCACACAAACTGCACTTGCTCACAGCATGAAGACTACTCACTTAGCTTGATTCCCTGACCCGGCAACTGTTGAATCACACTTCCCTGAATAATAATCTCACTCGACGTCTCTTCATCCAAACTAATTCATCGTGAAAACGCTTTTCGGACGCCCTAACCTTCCCCCCGAATCTCTTCTGTTCCTCTATGTTCTGCGAGCTTCTGTGGACCTAGTAACAGTCGATACAACACGGTGGGTAACTCAGCGAATGTCTTTGTTACGCATGGTGAGAAAGGACCAGAAAACATCATGAGGATAGATGCCAAAAAGGATTTTGGCATCTGGGTCTCCTCAAACTTGTCCTTCTCAATGCACCATAAGAAATCTGCCAAAAAGGCATTCGCCATTTTACGGACGAACTGGCTCACCTTCTCCCGTATTACTCGAATGGACTTCCAAATACTCTATGGGGTCTACGTCAGACCGCTCCTGGAATAAGCCAACCAAGTTGTCTACTCAGGACGCACGAAAGACGTCACCCTCATTGAGCGTGTTCAGCGGGCCGCTACGAGAATGGTTGCCGGCCTCAAATCCGTGGACTACGAAACGCGTCTCGCGATGCTTGATCTCTTTCCCCTGGGGTACCGTCGCCTCCGAGGGGACCTAATTCTTACTTGCGCCCTGTTTGAACAAAGCTTGGTCAACAAATTTTTCACCATTGACCCGGATGGTGACCCAGCGGGGACATGGTAAGAAGATTTTCAAGCTCAGAGCGCACACATTCATTAGGCGAAATTTTCTCTCATTTCGGGCAGTATCTACGTGGAATGATCTTCCTCCGACGGTTGTCCACGCTCCTTCTAGAACCCAGTTTAAGGCACTATTAGACATTTATTTACACGAATCCTCGCTCTGAGAAAATAAAGAGCAGCGCTACACCCTTTTTTCACTTGTGCCTTTCACGTGAACGACAGCCGCTGAAAGACAAGAACAAAACCGACCCGGGAAACTTGGGCAAAAGCCTCGATCCTGTGTATCAATCCGTGAATCCGTGAATTGTTTCAAGGTGTCCCGTTCTCGCATTACTGTGGCACGATAGGCGGCAGCATGGGTACAGTAGTAAATTTAATGGAGAGGAGCGGTGGAAACCTATGTTGAGACACGATGGATGGAATGACTCCCAAACTTATTTGTTTGTATGCCACTGTACCGTTAGTTGGGTCGTTACGGTCCACTTGTCTGTCATTCCACTCACGTCATCATGCTGGTCATTCCCGTGTGAGCCTGAGTAGAAAAATCTGTGCAAGTCCAACTTGGCGTCACAATGGATGATGGACTGCATGACACGAAGCTGCCCAGACACAGTTGGCCAGGACCACTATTGTTTTTCTCCATCTTTGTCGTTCATGTACAGCGATCAAGTGATAGATGCCATGTTCCAGATGCCTCTGGTAGCTAAGCAATCGTTTCATCGGCTGATTTCACTGCGACTATTTGTGACTGAGGAAGCTGAAACTGTGAATTAAGCTGCGTTATCTCTTTATGTTACTAATTTTGTTTGTGTAAAACGAATAACGCCCAGCTGTAGCACCCTTCCGCTGCCCAGCTGCCATGCCACCCCAAAGAAGCACGAGGGATGGGATACTGCCAGGTTCCCAGACGGGAGAAGTCGAAAGGCGGAGGTCGGTTCGAATCACGGACCTTCCAGCCAGTAACCACTAAGTAATCTCACCGCCTGGTTTGTGTATTTAACAGCTTGGTTTTAAACGTAATACGCATGATCCAGGTAAGTTTAGAAAACAGGCACGAGCTTTTGAAACTTTATCACATGGGCAACCGGAATATCACAAAAACAGCAAGACTTTGGTGTCAGGCATACTAACAAGACACCAACGACAGATAAAAGTGTTCGGGGCTGGTTGGAAAGTATCACAGCATAAACTCAATTGAAAACAAATGGTACCTTGTCAGCGAAGGCACTGCGCCGGATAATATCTCGTCCAGCATCCGAAATACGACTCTGGGGACGAGTGATACTGAGGAGATATGAATTTAAACCAGTGTCGAACAGAACAAGTTCAAGAGCTAACTGGTCTCAGCAAATAGTGTGCTTGGAGCGTGCTGTTTCCTGTTTCAGTCGTTGTTGCATCCCAACAAACAATTAGGCCCAGGTGATTCTAAAAGCGATGGACTCGTACACGTTGGTTTTGACTAGAACGGGCCGAACCAGTTGATATTTTTTGAAGGAAATGTTGCCAGTACATAGATACGAACCAGAGTAACTGAGCTGAATTAATTGAATCCCGCCCGTACTACCTAAACTTCCTACTGGACAAGTTACTGTTCGTTGAACGAAGAGTAATTTTGTTCCAACACCGTGGAGTTCCGCCAAAAAATGCGCTGCGTATCCGTGAAACTTACTGTCCAAAGACTGCACCCCATGTAACCATCGGTTATCCACGGGAAGAATTCCATGCAAAACAGAGATTGCACCCTGCCTTCACAGAACTGTGGGAAACGAATGTCAGAATCCAGTGTAGATTCTCCTCCCACTTGGTTGCGATCGTGGTCGATCATACGGTAGTATGACTGTCACTCATTCTCATCAGTTACCCCTATAATGGACAAAGTCTGACTCCCACCAGGCAAAAAACCCAAGGATACCTGTGTGATCTCATATCTAACTGCAGTATGCTCTTGAAATATTCAACTTTGTGTGCTGCTGACCAGCTCCTTTAAATGTACATAGGGTAGGGTGGGTAGCTCATTATACGGACACGTATGGAAAATTAGAGGTATATGTAGCCCTCAATACCTTACTGGCCCATCTTCTAGTAAACAGCTTGCTCGGGCAGAAAAGATCCCTGCTGGTTCTGCCAATCCTGGAGTTCTTCAGGTAGGCGTAGTCCCTGAGTTTCCAGCAATCTTATGTTCAAGTGGGCAGGTATCCTCACTTACAAAGTATACTGATGTTAACGAGGAATTTAA